CCTTTCCTCGTCTTGCTGCTGCAAAGAGCTGGTATTCCCTTGTTTTCCTTCAGTGCAATGCTGTGCTTTCACATGAGTATGGACAATCTGTTGCTTGCAACTTCATAAAGAGCATTAAGATGAGATTTGCTTTTTTAATTTTTTTTTTTCATTATTTAGTAGCTAGTTTCAGCAATCCAAATGCCGTTTACTGAAATGGAAGCTTTTAATTTCAAGTTCATAACACTAAGAAAATCTGCAAACAGAGGCATGACAACTAAAGCCATTTACTTGTCAAGGAGGGAAAATCACGTGTGGTAGGTCATGCTTTGCAGGCTAGCATTGCAGTTGTTCTTTAAGCAGGTGTTATGTTCTAGAAGTTTTTGTCTTGGATTTAAGTGCTGTAAAAGGAAAAAAGTAATTGCCAGTTTCAAGGAGACTTTGTTTTCTGTCTTTTAATTGCTGGCATCGTCGATGCAGTATGTTCTCATTGCATGAAAATAAACCAAAAGCATTTTTAGGTGGTGGCTGGGGAAGAGATCTGTAGTCCTTGTTTCTCCCAGAACTGTAGTCTTACCCTCTTGGAGTGCACTGAACCTTTTTTTTTAAAGTTTGCTTTAATTTTGAATGCTTAAACAAATACTGCCATCTGAAAAAAAGACGTTTGTATCAGGTAACATTAAAATTTAAGGTATCCTCTGAGAAGCTGATATGCATTTTGGTAATGAAAAAGTACCTTGTGAAGTATAGTGAGTTTGCTTTTCATTGCACTGAGTTCAAGTGTTCAGAGGCCTGATAGCGGGTCTGCTGCCTTTGTCGAAAATGTTGACTGTTCGTTCATGAATGATTAATGGGTTGTTTTATTTAAAGACACGTCTCTGCTTCCTGCTGTGTCAGTATAAAAACTACGTTCTGAAAAATCTGTGTGCACAGTCCCTATTTGAAGAATGTCAGGTGTTGATCCTTTGTCCTGCCTGCGTGAAACTCTCCTCCTTATCAATTTGCAAGGATTTAGTGCTAGCAAGCTTTCCTGTGAGACTGAACTTAAATACGGCAGATTTATAAAGTATTAAAATACAGAGCATTACTGAGCTGAGAGAGAGGTCCTCATATTCATAAAGTTGTCACAGTACTTAATGGGCTGTCCCATTTTCGTTCAAGTTGTAGCATCACAGAAGTATTTCTGCTTTCTAATTTTTCTTTATCACTTTTCTAGCAAGAGTCCTTCACTGTTCTTAGCAGGAGAAAGCAACATGAAAAGGTCTGAAATCCATATCAAATAGCAAATGAATGTTGAAATGTTTTGAGTATAAGGCGTTTTGTGTGCGCGTGCATGGGCATGTTGAAGGACGTGTTCTTGTGATTCTGATAGTGAGAAGACAAGGAGTTTCTTTTAGTAGATCTAATTCCATGTTTATGAGCATTCGGAGCTTGTTAGTGCAGAAATGAAGCTCAGGGAGTGAAGGTTCTAGCTGGAAGTCCTCATGTACATACAGAGCTGTTTAGTGTTTAGCATATATTTAAGTTTCTGGGAAAACAGCCGTGGAAGTGGTCAGAAACTATTTTGATCTAGGTAATGCTTTATTTATTTGGATTTATACATTGGTAATGAGTAATGGGTTTGGTAAATGAATGGAATACAGTTAAATTAATATGCTTTTTTTGACTTGCAACTATTAAAGTTTTTTGCAGAACACTGTCTTGAACTTAAAACAGTCGCCTTAAAAGAAACGGCGAGGTGGTGCAGGGCCCGGGAGCTCTACAGGGACATCTGGTGGGACCTGCCTCTCGCAGGACTCTCCTTCCCAAGCTGGGCGGAGAGGATTGACCTTCCTGCTAACACTGATGTCGAAAGTACACTAAAGTTAATTTCAGGAAACTTTGAGCTTTCTAAAAGATGTTTTTCTCATCAATAAATGAGAAATTCTTTACAAAATTAGCCTCGATTTCGGTTGGGTGCTGTTGAACTGGGCATTATTGTAGACACAACAACACACCTCGTTGCGTGGCTCGAGGTATGAGGAAGTATTACTGTATGCTACGTGGTTATTTAAAATAGTTCCTGATAAGAAAGTCGTACCTCTCAAAGACTTACTTATGAGCTAAGCTGTGTGTTGTAGTCAGATTGATGGCTTTGCATTTTTTATGCTTCACTGAAAGCAGTAACTTACAGGTGTCTTTCAAAAATCTTGCAATTCTCCCCGAAAAATCTGTCTGAAGAGAGCAACAGGGAATGAAAGCAGCTGGAGGCTTGGTTGGCAGGGCAGTTAGCCATCTTGTTTGTTGTTCAGGACAAAAGTTCTGGCTTTCCCTTGAAAACCAGAAATCGGTATATTGAGTTTGGAAGTACTAAGCAATCAGAAGAAAACCCCTCATTACGCTTTCGTATCGTGTTACTGTTTTAAACTTAACTAGTATGCCGCCTGAGTTATGCGGCAGCATGTTGGCTGTGAGCTTCCAGTATTGGCTTAGCACATACATGTCCTGCAGTTTCATCTGGAGTTGTTCTGGTTATAATGCTGAAACCATTGAAAACCTTGGTGTGAAACCTCTGAGCCATATTCCTATACGTTGCTTGAGAAGATGTTCCAAAACCTCTATCAGGCATTCTGTGTCATGGGCTTTCTATTTGGAAAAGCTCTGTTAATACAGAGAACTGCTCTTTTAATAATGGCACTTCGCTGTCTTAATTAAAAAAGCAACCAGCAAATGCAGGCCAGACAGCAAAGCCTTCTCACTGTCTTGTGTGGAAGAGCAGTTTGAGGAGGACGGGAATGTTGTGCAAGCTGCCGGCCCCCCGCCGCAGCAGCCAGGGCGCTCGATGGTGCCGGTTTTGCCACTTCCGTGAAATAGAGGAAGAACCTGAAGGTTTGTGCGTTCCCTGGTGCAGGTGTATGCTGGTGCTTCAAATGACAAGCCCGCTGGTTTAGTGGCAGGACGATTTACGTGGGAAAGGCAGCTCTGCAAGCCGACTGGGAAACGAATGCAGAAACTGCACTCTGAATGAGGAGACCCCAAGGTTACTCTCCCAGCATCCCGGGGAATCGAGGTTCATCCCTGAAGACAGTGGGGTGATGCTTCGTTCCTAGCAGCATTCTTTATGCTGTTAGTGCTCTCAAGAGCAACTCTACCAAAGGCAGCCATTTGACCCTCCTCAAAAAAAAAAAAAACCAAAAAACCAACCCAAAACCAAACCAAAACAGTGGGGAGGAGACTTGGATAGTAGAAAAAGACTCTCTTACTGTTCACAGAGTTTTGTAACAGAGGTTTTTTTATTTCCCCCCCTCCTCTACCTCCCTGCTCG